GAAAGACCAAGCCTAGTAGGTGTCTGCTATCACTGTGAGTGTGAGTATGTGTGAGTGCGTGTGCAGGTGTATTGGGAGCCCGAGCGCATGGCCCCAGTTGGACATCGAGGGTTCTAATCCCTGGTGATTGTCAGAGAGGCTGGCAGCTCCTCATGAAAGGGAGGCTGGGGAGGTGGAGTCGTGTCATCTGCCAGCCCTGGCTTAGTGTCCACAAGGGACACGTGTTTGGTGAGGGGACTTCATCTGTTTCTGTAAAGGACCAGTCCTCAAGTCTTTCTGAACCTAAATGATTGTGGCATGTTCCCTTAACAATGTAAATTTACTCATTTACACCTCCCCATAGTAAGAGCCTCTTACGTGTACATTGGAGTGAGAAGTTCGAAGTCAGCGGATAATGACACAAGATAGGCAGGACTGGAAGGTCTGATGTAGCCCTGAATAGCCTGGGGTGGTGACACATTCATTTCAAGTTGCTGACACATCTTCTCTAGCAGATAAAGTTCTGTGGTCAAGCCACAAATGACAGGTAAATCACATTAAGATCATGAACGACCACTTTCTCGTTCTATAAGTAGCAAATAGAAACCCCTTAGCAGGGATATGTTCTGCCATGTGTGGTTGTATATTTGGAAGCCAATGTTACAGACATGGCTTTTTGTCTGTTGATTGTGTTTCTAAGGATTTTCCTTACAGGATGTGCTGTACAGGACATGCTCTTGCACACTGACGCTAAGCTCTGTGCTTCTGGGACTGGGACCTGCCAGCCTCACTGTGCCTTCGCCATCTTGTGTGGATCTGCTGGCTGGGGTCTTTGCAAGGGGAAAGGTGGTCAGGAGGGAGGACCAGCTATGCCTCCCCTTCCAAGGCTATTCCACTCAGGGTGACCCCAATAAAGTTCCCCAATAGGGACATGCCTTTGTCATAGGGATAGCGGGTCAATAATGTAGATTTCCCCAAATTCCAAGCACTCCTTTCTCCACATCCCTGCGGAAAGACCAGCACCAGCAGGATTGTCCCAAGTGTGGCTGTGCTAAGAGGTCTGGTCCAATGGAGGATGCCTGTGGATCCTGGCCCTGGAGCAGGAGGTCCTTATCTCCCGGGATCACTGCCAGGGGCTCAGGTTGCACAGGTCTCCTCCCTGACCTCCTCTAGGAATCTTGTTCTAGATGAGAAATGTCAGACCCCTTTGAAATGGAGTCCAGGCCCAAGCTCTGAGGGTCACCTCCCCTCTCAAGGGCTCTCAGGCCCCCATATCTGCTGGGGTGTGTCCAGGCCTGGGAGGGTGTCTGCTGTACACCACTGCACACTCTTCATTATCTCATCCTTCCCTTATACCGTTCTTGTGGCCTCCACATCATCATATCACGTTGTCCTTCATTAAAAACAAAAAAGGTAGAGGACACTGCCTAATAATGACATTTGTTGTTTTCCTCTTTCCCTTCCGGGTGTCCCTTACACTTTGGTTTCTGGTAGTTTTACTTTGATAGATCTAGGCCTCCGTGTGTGTGGGTGGGGTGGGGTGGTGTGGGTGTGTGTTACAGTCAGGGAGCTGCCACATTGAAATATGCAGCTGGAGAATTTCCCTTATTTTGGAAAATTCTCCACTGTCGCCTCCCTCCTCTTTTTCTTGGACTCAGAATAATGACCTCTTATGTGGTTAGTGACACAATTTAACAATGAATACAGCTTTTGGTCAATAAAAACTATTCTTCCAACAACATTTCAGAAATGTTCCCATTGGATTCTATTCTGCATGGCACTAAACTCACTGTCCTTTTGTTCACTTATGTGCAATAATTGATTGCATTTTGTCCTTAGAGTCCTTTCAGTAATGTTTTGTTGTTGTGTGAGGATATGTAAAGAAATGTGCCTTCCGTACAGCATTTTCAACAAGACTCAAAAAATACCATCTCCCCTCACAAACCCACTTCCATCCTCCTTCCTCTTCTCTGTGCTTTGCGGCCACAGCATGAGATTTCTGTTGTCTCCAGACTTTTTCTGGCACTGCAGTGCTTTCCATGCCCTGTGATAAGTGGTGTTGTTCATGTGAATGTGCAATTTACATAAACTATGTAATTTATACTTAATTGGTGGCTAACCACATGTTGTGAATGAATGTTTTTCTGGATCAGTACATTTAAGGAATTGGGCAAAGGATGGGTGAGAGGAATATTTAATACTTTTATTTAACATACATCCCTTCTGACTATCTCTCCTAAGGAGGCATGGCTCTTGTAATCAGAAATATATCTGTACTTGACAGCTTAATTATCGTTGAAAGTAATATGAGAAGATGTGACCAAATGTATCAAAGAATATCCAAATAGGCTGTGCACTTTTTGAAGGCTTTTAAATATCTTATAGCAATGTATGTGTGTAAGTACCGTAAAGATTCTGGGGCTGGGCGGCGCTTGTGGCTCAAAGGAGTAGGGTGCCGGCCCCATATGCTGGAGGTGGCAGGTTCAAACCCAGCCCCAGCTAAAAACTGCAAAAAAAAAAAAAAAAAAAAAAGATTCTGGGTGGGGCATGTGGAATCACAAGTTTGCAATAAGCATTCCTGGGTAATTGGACAACTGATGCTTAATATAGTTCCTATGCTGCAATTTTAAGTATCATAAAATTTCCACATATGTGTTTAAAATAAGGAACTAAATGGAGCAGAAAATAACTTTCACACTGGAGGCAGAAACATTGGCAGGGATGTGTGGAGTCAGTGAGTGTGGATTATATGCATCCATGCCAGGCACCTTGGGTTCTGACGTGATCCTGCCGCATGTGTGTCTGTGTGTGTGTGAGAGAGAGAGAATTTGTGCCAGCTTTGGGGGGATGCACATGCATCTGTTCTTGGGGTGTGGGAGGTACCCTGGGGCTTAGAGGGGAGACAAACAGCTGAGTCACGTGTGAATCTCTTCTCCCCGTTGTTCTGTGTCCTCAGGTGATACCTGCGCTTGAGAGCCCAGTGCTGTGAGTTCTCTAAGGCAGAGAGTGCCAAAGCTGTGTGATCACACAGCCCTAAGCCCAGACTCTGTGCAGGGTGTCCCCCAAATATGTGTATTTCGTTATCCCTGTGCATTCATCTTACACCTACAGGTGTGTGTGAACAAGACACGCACGCACACGTGCACTTATTAAGAAATGATCTTTCATGCCATAGAACTTAGAATTTGAAGTCCATGAAGCCTGAGCTGAAATACGTAAATGAGACGTAATATATATTGCGTACGATTAGAGAAAAGTAGAGAATGTCAAGAGTATTTGGGGTAAGAAGGTGGGAAGAGAACGATTGCAGGAATAATCACATTTCTGCAGCACACATTTCTATGAAGTGGGAGAGCTCATTAAATAAAGCGTGGACACCTGGGAAACCTTGCTGTGACCCGATCACAGAAATGCTGTAGGAGAATGGGCACTCATGAGACACTGTTTCCAAGTCCCCTATGGCAGCAACTCTAGTTTAACATGCCACGTACACGTATGAGAGCACGTGAATGCGTGTGTAACGTGTTGCAAGGATACGCGTCATCCTCTAAAGAGTGAGCATCTGTAACACACTGTCCCTTTCATGGATCTTTCTGTGCGTTTCATATTCTCTCCAAGCACATTTAATGTTACTGTGAATTGGAAAGATGCAGCAACATTACAAACCTCATTTTCGTTCCACACACAGGCAGACCGCTCATTTTGTGTCCGAGGCTGGTGCTATCACAAAGGGACTAGTCCCCTCTGTTCTGAAATAGGACAACCCTGGCATCCACGGAGTAACATAACGTGGCGGTGTTCTGAACTGCAAAAGAAGGAAGAAAACCAACACGACATGACTTTATGGATGACATTAAGTTGTCAGCTGTGTTTCAAAAGGGCAGGGATGAGAGAGCTGGGGAGGGAACGTGACAAATCTATCCCCACTTACCTGGCTTAACTTTTTATCTGTTTTGGATTTTCCAGATTGACATTGGTGGTGCCCAGATCCTGGGTATCTACGTTCAGCACCGTTCAGCACCGTTCAGCCCCCGGGAGAACAGTGCGCCTGAGAGACAGCAAGCGAGGAGAAGGGTGTGCGCACAGGCAGGTGGTGCGTGAGAAACTGGGTAAGACTTGCCCATTGACTGAACATCCATTTGCAGCCATTTCCCGTGGGAACGTGGGATGTGGGTTTCTTTGCACCCCACTCTGCAGACACTTGTTTTCATGCTAAGACTTGCAGACATGATGTTTGGAAGGCCAAGTTTTAAGCCACAACACAGAGGTGCAGGTCGTAGCCAGTGACCAGTGCTGCAGCAGTCCTCATGGACCACGACAGCCAGCCATCGTCAGTATGACGTTTACGGCCTCTGGCTTCTCAGCTCATGCCCTTGCACATGCCACCATGCTGACAGCTACCGTCTGTACCCAAGAGATGGCCTCAGGCTTCCTGCGGTGCGCAGAGCAGCACTAGCACCCTAGAAAGGAGAAACAAGAAAGCTTTCCCATAGGCTGAAGCCCAAGGAAGCCGAAAGTCATAGAACATCCCATAGGAAAACCGGGGTCCCTGACAGGACACACCTCTCCCTCACGCAGATGTGTTCCTTGGTGTTCACTCGTTGCAACTAGGACTAGACTAGCTCGGACTGTTCCAAGACACTGGGACCCCTCCGTATTTTCCCCCAAACCCTTGCCATATACCAGCCCCCACCAAACACACCCGTTGTGTTTCCTCGCCCCAACCATCTCTCATCAGTCTCACTGTGAGTGCACAGCGCCTCTGCTCTCAGCAATGGGATTTCTTCTGTCTCACGTCTCCTTTTTCTTTCTGCCCTCCAGCACAGTCCAGTATGGTGCACTGAAAGCTCGAGCTCCAGCATCTCTGGGAGATCTCGATGGAGGGAGACGGCCACACAGGCTGCAAACCCCTGAGTGTGAAGGCAGAGGCGGCCTCAGCCAAGAGCTGCGGTCACAGTGGTCATGGCAGTCGAATGCCTCAGCCTCTCTTGGTGACCTCTTCACCCGCGACACACGTCATCATGGACTCTGAGTATGTCCTCTGCAATTGGAAGGGCCGCTTATGGCCAGCAAGGGTTTTGTCCAGATCTGGGGCTTCACTGAAAAATAAGCAGAAGGGGACATTTTCTCTAGCAGTTCAAATCCTCTCGGCAGATAAAAAAGTTAAAGTGCGGGGCAGAGACGTGCAGCCCCTAACTAAGTCTAAAATTGAAGCCATTGCCTCCTCCTCAGCAGTGGTGCAGTCGAAGGTCAGAGCTGCACCTGAACAGGAAGAGTGCTACAGAAGAGCCCTGAAAGTGGCCCTGGAGATTCTGAATCAGAGAAAACCAGATGCGCAGGAGACCACCACGCCATCCCAGAAGGGGCCGGCAAAGCGAGCCAGGCCTCCCCCTCGTAGAAAGCGTCGGAAACGCAAAGGGAAGTCACGGAAGCGTCCTGGCAAACGTGAAGACCCGGGGTCACTGTCGGTGCGTTCAGAGAGCAAGAAGGGTGTGCACGGTGGTGCATCACGGGTACACACAGTGTCACTCCATGGTGAGGAGGAGGGCAAGAGAAAGGCAGACACCTCCACAGCCATGTCCTCGCATCCCCCAGGCGAGGAGGAGGATGCATGTGCTGAAGACCAACAGGTGGCTCCATGTAGGCCACCGGGGCTGGTCCCCACTGTGCCCACAGCTCTGGACAGAGAGGCCCAGGACACCTGCCCAAAGGTCCTGGCTGCCTCCTCTGCACGCTCAGACTGTGCAGTGAGCACTGAGCAGCCTGCAGAGGGTGCAGGGGACCTGGACATGGAAGGTGCCACAGCAGCCTGCAGACCCCCACCACCCCTGCAGCGGTACTCGCTCCGTCTTGCGGATAGGAGGAGGAAGCTTCAAGGCCCACATTTGGAGAAGGGACTGCAAGAACCTCCACCAAAGCCTACTAAGCCCATCACCGCTCTTAAAACAGCTGGCGGTAAACGACGGGGGCGACCTGCAAGGATTGCATTCCCGCAGGAGCCGTGTCCCATTGAAACAGGAACCATGGTTTGGTTTAAATTTCAAGACCTTCCATTTTGGCCGGCGGTGGTAAAGAGTGTCAGCAAGGCAGAGAAGACTGCCAGGGTGCTCCCAATTGAGGCAAACCTGTGCCCTGGCAAGAGCGGCATCCGCGTCCCTCTTCGGAGATTAAAGCCCCTTGATTGTAAAGAGAAGGAGAAGCTCCTGAAGAGAGCCGAGAAAGAGTACAGGCAGAGTGTCAACTGGTGCTTCTCCCTGATCTCCCACTACCGAGAGGGACTCACCCGTGGCTCTTTTGCCGGCTCCTTCCTCGACTACTATGCTGCTGATGTCAGCTACCCGATGAGGAAAGCCATCCAAGAGGGGGACCTGGAGATTGACTTTCCAAAGGTGAATTACGCAGACCTGGAGGATTCAGAGGAGGAGGCCTCCCCACGCGGGAAGAGGCCCTGCAAGAGAATTCTCCCGGACCGGATGCGGGCCGCTCGGGACCGAGCCAACCAGCAGCTAGTCGACTTCATCGTGAAGAGAAAGGGGGCTGACCACCACCTTCTGGACATCTTGAAAGGCAGGAAACCGTCCAGATGGCTGACGTCATTTCTCAATTCAAATAGGTACTTGCTCTGCATCGAGACATACCTGGAGGATGAGGATCAGTTGGATGTGGTGGTCAAACATTTACAGGAAGTCTACAAACACATAGACCGTGCCATGCTGACTCGGATAAGAGATGACAAGGTCAACTTCGTTCTGGAAGTCCTTCTGCCGGAAGCGATCATTTATGCAATTGCCACACTGGAGGGGCTAGACTACCAGGCAGCAGAAGAGAAGTACCTGCGGGGACCACCTGTGCATTACCGCGAGAAAGAGCTATTTGACAAGAATATCTTAAAGAAAACTAGGAAGAAGGCAGCAGCCACCAGGGGAGCCTATTAGGTCTGCTCCTGTGCCCTGACCTGGCAGGCACCTTCCCCCTCTCTAGAATTCGTTCCAAAACCTATTTGTATGAAACTCGTGATCATTCTCTGTGGCAAGTAAATGTGTTCTGGAAAGTCAAGACTTTGAGCAGGTGCGTAACTCGTCCTGGATCCATCTCTGGTGTTTGTGCTTTGTGCGGTTCATACCAAAGTCCATGGGCTGCTGGGCAGTCAGCAGCACACTGTTCATTGTCGCTTCTCCTTCCCAAACTCTCCGGGCGCTGTTTTGTAAACACTTTGCAAACAGTTTATTTGCCTTGACTTTTTGGGGTGTGTCATTGCCCAGATAGTTCCAGAAGAAAACCTCGATTTTCATACCGTGTCTGTTAACTGTACTTGACATTTTCATGTAGGACACACACCGGTTTATTTATTTATTTTATATGACAAGTCACTGATATCAGCTGTGAAGTAACTCTCATTTTAAAGCCTAATGTATATTATTACGTTATACATTGAAGTTTTCCTTAGATTCCCTTTTAACATGATGACTGAATTTTCCCTGCAAGCCTATTTACGTTTTTTGAAAGGCGGCCCTGAGTTAAATCTGATGACAGAAATGTTTTCTTATATATTATCACTACCTATCTTCTGACGCCTCTTCCAAAAGCAAGCTGAAAGTCAGATGCAAAGTCCCTGGCCCTCTGCATGTGGTCAGTGGGTGACAGATCAGTGTGCAGCAAACATTTTTCAGCCTGTGCAAGATAGTTGCCTCTGTGTCCACCTAAAATTCCATTTATGGGAGCAGCTCTTCTCCATGCCTGGATGATTTCCTTAGACAAGCTTCAGGCTGCCCTCGCACCTGACAGTTACTGGGCCTCCTCTTGTGTGGCTGTCTGTCCCCATGTGGAGGGCAGCTAGAGTCATCCCATGCACAGGCTGGCTGCTCTACACCTAAGAGCCAGCCTGACTGCCCAGCAGCCCATCTACTTTAGTGTAAACTGCACAAAGCCAACGCCTTGTCCTGGATCCCGTATCCCCTGAAACGTGCTCATTTGTCTCAGACTGGCCAAGCTTTATCTTCCAACTTATCCATCAGCTGGCTCCGACAGGTTCTGATGGTATAAGTGCAGAGTGCCCAGTCATTCCAGAATGCTAGTGAGAGTAGTAGGGGTACCAGGGCTGGGAATTTGAAATTGGGTTGTAGAAACTGCCCCCATTTGGCCTTGTCGCAAGAGAATTAAACAGGTGCAATGAGATAACTTATAAAACCCGTGAATGGTTAAACTAACTTGAAACAAAAGGTTTTTTGAGAATAGATGCTAGCAAATCTAGTTTTTTTTTTTTTCCAACTTAATATGAAAATAAACATTAAGGGCTTAACACGAACCCAAGTGCATTTTTTGTTCTGAGAGGCAGTCAACTGTTCTCCTACACTGTGGGTTCCCATGGCCGTGTGTTTGGTAAAACTTGCAAAGTAGCTGTGTGGAGTCATAGTGAACCCATCGTGTCCCTCACCCTGAACTTGTGCTCCATCATACTTGAAATTGTACAACCACCTAGGTATAGTGACTAAGAAAATATATGAACCCACTTCCAGAGAAATAGGAGTTTGGGGAAATTCTGGTGTGGCTGTCATCAATTTTCTTCTCCTTCTAAATAAATATTCACTTGTTCACTTTTGTGCTTGACTGTGTTGTATATGGGGAACCTGGGAGTCTGTTGTTAGAAGGGGCCTTCCCAGTCCTGTCAGTGTCAGGCGCCACAGAGCCCTCCTTGGACTCTGGCTGAGTGAGAACAAAACTGTTGGGGCACACCGCCCAGACATTCACATGACTTCCTCATGGTCCAGGGAATTATCTGGGAACAGACACCTCAGACAGCAAGAAAACACACCTTGGACCCTCTACTACACTGTGTCTCTCTGAGTCCAATATGTCACCTAAGTTCAGCTTTCTCGAGGGGCCATGTTTATCTCTTGGTTCTAATATTTTCTTTACTATCTCATTCATTCATTTGTTCTTTCATAGTGTCATAGGTCAGGAGAGCAAGTGAGGTGTGGTTTAAGGCTCTGCTCAGAAGAGAAACTTCCAGCATCATAGAAAGATGGGAATCTTAGGACCCATGTGGCAATCTAATTTCTGACGTGACAAGGATGCACTCCTTCATCCTGTTGGCGAGAAATATTTATCAGCACCGTGGGCTGACTGCCTGAGTTTCAAACCACAGTCCCAGCTCTCCCCATATTCCAGAGGTCGGAGATGTGTCTCTTGCTTTGGGGGAAAGGGAGGGGACCAGGTGTCTCTTGGATGTCATTTGTTGAAGCGAGGCTGACATGTCTCCCACAAACCTCTATCTCCCTCCTTTTGGAATTGGGGTCATTGAAAGGCCTTTGGGGTGTGGGGGTGGATTTATGGCTGGCTGTGTGGACTCTGAGTTCCCTTGCAGCATAAACAGTTTCTGGGGCTGCTCTGATTTCCCTAACCTGGGTCTCTGTCATGGGTGTGTTCATGGGTGTGTGTGGTGTGTGTGTGTGTGTTTGTGTGTGCACGTGATGGGAAAGCCCAGCTGGCCACCTCCCCTACCCACTGCTGAACACCAGGCCCTGATCCTAATTGCTGGTTGGCAGATGTGCACAGAGATGGCACAGCACGTCAGGGCTTTGTTTCCATGCTAGGAGCTGAGAAGGAAAGAGTGCAGCCCTGAGATCTGCAAAGGTGGAGAGCATGAGCAGTGAGAATTCCTAGAATCTCCTGAACCCACATCTTGTCATTAGGCAGCCACAAGCCTTGCTAATTGGGAAGCAATCTACTTGTTCCTGGAGACCCCCCAAAGAGCTCATCTAAAACAATGTTTGTCTTAGTCAACATTCGTTATGCTAACTTTCATTACTCTTGAACTACTGACCCGGGTAAAGTATGACTAGGTGAGATCACAGCACATTACAGCACAGGAGGAATATACAGTTTATGTTTGGGCGGGGAGTACCTTGTATTCAGAGGAAGAGCAGGTCTGGCTAATATACACCTGCTTGGGCTGGGACAACATGGTTGGAAATTGATTTTGACAATGTCAAATCAGCAAGACAGGGGATAGAACATAATTCAATATAGAGGTGAACTTATTGTCATGGGTGACCAGAGCTGAGACTTGGGGTTCCATGTCTTGGGGTTGGCCTAATATCTCGCTGGACTGGCGTCTGTATGTTTAGACCACAGAAGCCTGCAGTAAGTGACATGACATATGGTAACTGCCTTGGCAGAGTATTGATGAATTAGTCAGAAAATTTAGGGGGAAGGGGTATCAGATATAATTTATTATATGATACCAGAATCCTATCTCTGAACTCTGTTCTCTTGGAGGGTAGGAAAGACAGTACTCAAATAAGGGATTGCTGGTAAGGTAGCAGTGGCATCTTAGAGGAGCACTGTGTTGACTCATTTCTGATTAGAAAAGAATTACAATAAATAGTTGAAGAGCAGGCTCGGCGCCTATAGCTCAACCGGCTAAGGCGCCAGCCACGTACACCTAAGGTGGCGGGTTCGAATCCCCAGCCCGGACCCGCCAAACAACAATGACGGCTGCAACCAAAAAATAGCCGGGCGTTGTGGCGGGCGCCTGTGGTCCCAGCTACTTGGGAGGCAGAGGCAGGAGACTCGCTTGAGCCCAGGAGTTGGAGGTTGCTGTGAGCTGTAATGCCACGGTACTCTACCCAGGGGGACAGCTTGAGGAACAGACTCAAAAAAAAAAAAAAAAAAAATAGTTGAAGAGCAGAAGGATCAAAGTCATCCTTATGAACTCTAAAGCTTTAATTTGTAATTGAATAATGAGGTAATACTCAACATATCTTGTAGTACCAGCAAATATTAAAATAGATATAACTATACACAGTTTGAATGAATAAGTGAAGTAAGAATGCTGAATGATTGTGAGTTTCCCAGGTATAAAATATTATTTCTTATTTGAATACATTAATGCTATAGATAATTAGGGTGCCTACGTAAATAGTTTACTAGAGGTAACTACTGATATTTAGGCAATTATGTTAAATTCAGAAAGTTGAAAAATAATTTTCTCACCTCTTTATTATCATCACTTATTAGAATAATGTGTTAGTTCTACAAATAAATACTTTACCTATGTAACTAGTAATCTAGAGATAACTACAGATAACTCCTAGATAGTAGAAAACACATCTTTATAAAAAATAAAGCTCCCTTAGTTTGTTAATGCTAAATACTTATTGTTATCTAAGTAACTAGTTTACTAAACATAACTTGAAAAACTTGTTAAATACATGAAATGTAGAAGTACAGCCTTGTCATCTAAATTCTTATTTCTTTTTGGACTATTGGGTTAATATAAGAGATGATTAGAATTACCCAAGTTAAATCTATATAGCGATATGCAAGTATAACCATAATCACTAGATAAATCCAGAAAGCTGAACATGTCATTAATTTCTACACCACATTTTTATTGATTTAAGATTGCCTTACTAATACAGAAAATGTTATCTAAGAGACTATTAATAATAAGATGGGTAGAAATAACTAGAATTAAATTGAAAGTGTTCTTGGAGCCTCTGATCAGAGACGCAGGGAGAAGGAACTGCGGACGGGATGATTGATTTGAAGGGAGGTCAGGACTCGCTCTGGTCAGCGACCCGGCCTAACTTGACTGATTATCTTATATACTTTCAAACATTCAGTAAGAATTTAACACAGATACAAAGAAGTGAAGTAACATTAGGAAGCTACCATTTAAGATTACAGTTCAGTGTGAAGGCTGAGGAACACATATACAATTGATTTTGTTTAGAGTAAAAACATAAAGGAGACGGCTTGTCTGTTCTTGCTGGCCCAAACCAAAACTAGGGATTATAATGTTAATGAAGGAAGAAGACAGAGAACAGAGCCCAACGCTAGCTGGAGGACAGGTATTCATACTTCCAGCTGTGACCCTGGCTGATTCTCCAGAATTCCTAACAAAGAGAAATTCTGCATATTCCTGCATATC